AGAGAGAGAGAGAGAGAGAGAGAGAGAGAGAGAGAGAGAGAGAGAGAGAGAGAGAGAGAAAGAAAGAAACGACAGCAACGCAACCCATCAATGAATGAGAAGAGACAGAAGATTGAATTTGGTTGAGCTAATTATCCTCGAAAGAAACACAGAAAAAAAGAAGAGAGACAAAACAACAGCAACTGAACGTATGAATGAATGATGAAAAATTCAAGAATATCGTGCGTGGGCTAGGCCTAGAGCCTAGGCAGGGCTCAACCCCTGCAGCTTGATATTGTGCCCAGTGGGGCCAGGCTGAGGGCCCGTTCACACTGGACTGCACTACCGGCAGGCCGGAAACAGGCAGGGTCTGAGTAGTACCGTTACAGTGGGTTGTATAGAGACTCCGAGTAGCCCAGTGTTTCTTTCTTTTCTTTTCTTTTCTTTTCTTTTCTTTTCTTTTCTTTTTTTTAATTATATCAAGAATCTAGAAATATACTTCCAGAAACATAAATATTGACAGTCTACCCGGGGCACCATTCCACTAGCACACGAGTGATGACCTATTATGACGTGTGCGACACCACCAGAAAACGATGAAATGAAAAAAAAAGAAAAGAGTGGTAATGTTTGATTCATGCACCCTCACCTGTCCTCACCCGTCCTGCCCTCCCCACCTCCGCCCCATCCCCCCCCAAAAAAAATATGTCCAGATTCATGCCACCCGCCAAGGCCCAATGAAGCGAGTGGGTTCATTGCTTCACTGGGCTGTTGGTATAGAAGCTCTACCCCACGATTGCTGCGACCAAGACCCTTTGTGTGCCGTATGGGATACTAAGTGATGGTTTGCAATACTGAAGCGTGCACATTCTTGTATTCTGCATCAAAATGAAGTACTCGATGGGTTTGCAATAGACCGGAAAAAAAAGGAGGTCAATACCAACGCCTTCCAGTACTTTTGAGTTTTTTTTCCTCGTTTGAAGTGCGTCCAATCGAAATGAGTCTCTGTTTCTTTTTTCCGCCTCCCATTTTTCGCAAATAAAAAGAAAAAGAACAAAAACAAAATAAAAACACAACTTTGAAATATAAATCCATGGTGGTTTTGCTGCCATCCGATTTTCTTGCAACAACGGTCGGGCGATTTCCCGCAGTTGTCTCACAGGTTTTGTGCGGACATTTTACACTACTCGTGTGGTAGTGGAACCGTGCCCCGGAGCCCAGTGTTTCTACACCAGTACCTCCACCAGTGTTGGGAAAAATGGGAAAAGTGGCTGTTTTCCCACTTTTTTCTGAACTTTTCAATGTCGGCGGAGGCTCGGCAGTTGGGCCTTGTGGGCCCCTTTGAAAAGCAAAACGAAAAACAAAAGACCAAGTCCAGGGGCTAGGTCCCACTTGCACGAATTAAGAGATACTGACCGTAGATAGCAAAGATCAACGGCCGAAATCTCTTAATTTGCACAAGTGGAACCTTGCCCCAGGAAGGCCGTGCACGAAGTTGTGCTCACACCAATACTCACAAGAAAGTATCTAACTGCGGTTGTGGCCAGTTTCAGGTTGTCGGTGCTGCTATTTTTGATTTGTTTCTTTTTTTCTGTTTTCATGCCCTGCCAGGGAGGCACGGAGACATTTTGTGAAGGAGGGCATGCCCACATTACAATTTTGCAGAATGTATGAACCCGCTTTCCCGCCCTAAGTTCAGTTTCAATTTTGTTTTTTTTCCCTACTCTTTTTTCATGGACCTGACACCCCTGCCGTAAAGCCCGCATTGAGGGCATACTGGCACAACAACTTTGGGGCAGGTATCTACCTTGTATCACGTCCAGAGGGGTGTTCGTTTTTTCTTTTTTTTCTTTTTTGTGGTTGTGAGTACGTTGTTTTTTTTTAAGTCTATCCGTGATTTTTTTTTCTTGTTCTTTTCAGAAGAGTACCAGAAAAGAAAGACAACGGACCCCAGGCTCAGCAAAACTCGGTGCACAGTGAAAATCAGGGTTGGCAAAAACAGGCTCGGAGGTAGTGGTGGTTTAAGACAGTCTTGTGTGTGTGGGCCCAGGGATTCCCGGAGGACGATTCGTGTTCTTCGAACACGGTACTATACTGTATTTCTCTTCTTTTTAGCAAGTAGTTCTATGTTCAGAATTCGTGTGCCTCTTATCAACCAGGGGTAGTGATCTTGTTCTTCTATGATGTCATCACACGCTAAACTGCGCATTTTCACAATTTTTCAGAACACAAAAGTTACTAGAATGAGCTCACTGTGCCCTGCCACTATTGAGCAGCTGCGATGTCTGGTCTGCTCGTTAATGAGCCTGAAAACTCTCACGCTCGAGTTGTCAGGGTGAGTATTAGTGTGTCGAGGCAGAGGCAGAGCAGCGAGGCTGGGAGAGAGAGGGAGAGGGAGAGCACACACACACTATGACGAGCGAGGGGGTGAGGGAGAGCCGAGGGAGAGGAGAGAGAGAGGGAGAGAGTGAGAGCACACACACACACACTCACTCACTCGACACGACTGAGGGTCGGATGCAGACACAGTGGCAAGGGCACAAAGTCGAAGTCTTGGATTTCGAATGCCGAAACAGCGAGTCACACTGAGTACGAGTACAGCAGCAGAAACTGGTACGAGACTGGTCCCCGTACTGTACAGGGAGCCGGTATAAGTACCGGTGACACGTACGGTACCAGGGGCATTTCCACAAAAGCCCTGAGAACAGAACTGAAAAATGCGGTATTTGAAAGTGGCGCCCGAATTGCAGCATGGCGCCAGTTGTCCAAAATCCAACGGTACCAAAGGAGGGGTTTGGAAAAAAGGGTGCTAGGCCGAAAACGGGATGCAGCAGAAACAGCAACAAGATAGACCAGGGATCGAGCCCTAGCAGAGTCCGTAACACTATCCCCTCCCTCTGAAAGGCAACGTCCCGGCTGCCAAAAAGCCAAGGAAACAAAAAGAGATGTGAAGGACGGGACGGGGCCGATCACTGGTCGGAGAAGGAGAAGGGGAGCGATGCAAGTCGCAGGGTATTCTGTCTGGTGTTCTGCACAGGTGAAGGTGACCTGCAGTCTTGGCGTCGTGGTGATCGGCCAAGAGCTGGGTACGGAGACCACGTGTGTTAGGGATGCACAGTCGGTGAGTGCCTTTAGTGTCGATGTAGAGGAGGTTGTTGTGGAGGGAGTAGTCGGGGACTGGGTCACGATCGCGGAGCTTGTTGTATGGCGAAGTTTGGGCAAGAGAGGTTGTTTTGGGGGTATCGGTGATGGAGTGATGGGAGGAGCTGGATATGGGTCGTGGCGATGTAGACTTTCTCGGGGGGCTTGTGGTCGGGTTGTTGAGAGAGGGCATCAGCAACGCGGTTGCTTTTGTCGGGAGTATGACAAATGGTGAATGTGAACTGGGCAAGGAAGTCGAACCATCGAGCTTGGCGTGGGGTAGTGTCTTTCTTGGTGAGGATGGAAGAAACGATGTTGTTGTCAGTGCGGATGGTGAAGTATTGCCCGTCGAGGAGTTCTGTGAGGGCGTGAATCAAGACGAGGAGTTCCTTCTCGTTGGAGGGGTAATTCATCTTGGCGGGAAGGAGCTTCTTGCTTGCGAAGGTGATGGGGTATTCGTCGGGTGGAGCCTCGAGGTGAGTGGGCAAGTCCTTGATGGAGGGGGTCTCGACGATGTCGCGGGATGGGGTATTCGTTGGGTGGAGCCTCGAGGTGAGTGGGCGAGTCCTTGATGGAGGGGGTCTCGGCGGTGTCACGGGGGAAATGTTGGGACAGTATGGCTCCAATGCCGAAGTCGGAGGCATCATGGTGACATAGAAATGGCGAGTGGGGTCGACGATTTTGAGGACAGGGGCCGTGGTGATGGTTTGCTTGAGGAACTCGAAATCGTGTTGGCGGTGATCGTTCCAATTGAAGGGTTCGTCTTTGCGTGTGAGTTCGTGGAGAGGGTAAGAGATCTCGAAAAAATTGCGAATGAACGGGGGGTAATAGTTGGCAAGACCGAGGAAGGAACGGAGTTGGAGGAGGGTCTTGGGCGGGGGGTACTCAACGAGGGTTGTGACCTTCGAGGGGTTGCCTTCAACGGAGACAATGTGGCCAAGGTATTCGACGCTCGAAGCGGCAAACGTACGTTTGCTGAGCTTGGCGTAGAATGTTTGCTCTCGGAGGATCGAGAGGACTTGGCGAATGTGCTAAAGGTGGGACTCGAAGGTGGGGCTAAAGATGAGGATGTCATCAAGGTACATGACGACATAGACTTCGAGGAGGTCACAAAAGATGTGGTTCATGGTGGACTGGAATGTGGCGGGGGCATTGGTGAGTTCGAAAGGCATTACGAGGAACTCGTAGTGCCCGAACCGAGAGTGGAATGTGGTTTTGTGGGTGTCCTCCTCGCTGATACGGATATGGTGAAAGCCACTGCGGAGGTCGATCTTGGTGAAATATTTGGCTCCACGGAGGCGATCAAGAAGTTCAGATATCCGGGGGAGTGGGTACTTGTTCTTGACCATGATCCGGTTCAAGGCACGGTAGTCTGTGCACATGCGGAGTTCCGAGGTGCCCTTTTTCTTGACGAAGAGGCAACTGGTTCCGAAGGGGGAGAAGCTAGGCTTAATGAATCATTTTTCAAGGAGTTCATTGAGCTGGCGCTTCATTTCTTCGGCCTCGGGGACGGAGAGTTGGTACGGAGGGCGGCAAGGAGGAGAATGGCCGGGCTCGAGAGTAATGGTGTGGGATACACTTGGATCAGGAGGTAAACCGGTGGGCAAGGACTCAGGGAAGACGTCCTTGAATTCAGAGAGGAGAGCGGTGATGCGAGGATTGGAAGGGGGGTCTTGGTCGGGTTTGTCCATTGGAAGCAGGTCCTTGGGGCGCTCGTGGTTGATAACAAGACAATATTAAGCGGAGGGGTGTTCACGAGACATGTGAAGGAACTGGTGAGGGGAGACAGGGGGTGGGGTAGAAGTGGGGAGAAGGTATCAAGAGGAGAGTCAGGAGGGCGGGTGAGTCGGGCGAAGGAGGGGTGGGAGGAGTAGGGCATG